TCTCCCAAATTTGCCATATTTGTTACCTCTGTTCGTGGTCTGCACCACTGCCGGCGTCTGCGCGGTAGTGCATCAGCTGATTTCATTTTCTGTTGGCGCGGTATGATTTCGGGCAGAGACGTACTTAGCCCTTCTCGTCAACTGGAGAGTGAGTACTTTTTCCTTATTTTTTTTTACTTGGTCGCCCTCGTTTCACTACACATTACCTTTGTTATTTCAAGGGTAGTTGTTTCTGAAAAGGAAAACCCCAACTTTGCGGACACCTTGTATATACAGGAAAAAAATGAAAAGGTTGAAGGCCAACAGCATTCAGAAACGCTGGTTTTAAAACCTGCTAAAATCCATTAAAGCTAAAGAAGGACATTCTCTTTTTGCAGATAATTTTTATAGCAGCTTGCCTTTAGCTAAAAAACTATTTGATGAAAAAATTGTCTACTGCGGAACACTACGTGCAAATAGGAAAGGAATCCCAAAATCTTTCCAAAAAAAGCTGAAAAAGCGAAAGACGTATGGTCAACAAAAAGGATGCGCTAAAATTATAAACTGGGTTGATAAACGGCCAGTTTTAATGCTGACTACATATCCTACTCATATCAGCACTGTCCAAGAAACTGGAAAAAATCAAGAAAGGGTGAAGACATTCTAAAGCCCAAGTGTGTTACAGATTATAACAAAGCTATGAAAGGAGTTGATTATAGTGACCAGATGTCTGCATATCACTCTGCTCTACGTCGAGGCCTGAAATGGTACAGGAAGGTTATGAATGAATTTCTATTTGGAACATGTGTCGTAAATGCCTGGATTACTTTCAACCACATATCAAAGAAGAAAATGTCGATAACCGAATATAGATAAACTTTAGCAGAACAGTTAAAAGGTCTTCCTACAGTTGTTTCTGAACCAACAACGCGTAAAAGGATACATACTTTCAGAAAGTCAACTGGCCCAGGAAGAAAAAAAAGAAAGATTTGTAAAGGATGCTACCAAAATCTTCGGACAGCACTATCAAGCCGTGAAGCCAATAAAAAAGTCACCAAAGTAAGGAATGTTTGTGAAGATTGTTCCGGAAAACCTGGCATGTGTCTTCCTTGCTTTAATAAATTACACACATAATGGAAACCTTTTCTAGACTTATATCTTTGAATTATATTGTATGGCTTTAGTGGCAAAATATGAAAATTTAAAATAAAATGAATATTCCATAGCATTCTTTTTATGCTTAAAATAAATCTAGCCATTGATGCGGTATCAGTCGCCAGCGACCTATACGGAGCCAGACTTACGTTCACCTAGAATAAATACTAAGTGTCATATAAATCCGAACACCCAGTTTAAATGGTTTTATTTTAATAAAAGTTGGTGAATGTATTTATCTTACTGTAAATAACAAGTGAAAGACTTTTTCAGCCTTATCAGTTGGACATTCCGGTTTTTATACTGCTTTTTTTTATTTCACTAACGCTCTAAAAATGAATATTTCAGCCGCAGTTAAGAATCAACGTTGGCGGATTTTGGTTCTTGACATCCTTTACGATGCCTAGAGTACTGAGACCTGTACGATTTCGTCAACTTAGTGAGTTTGATAGGGGCCGTATAGTGGGACTTCGGGAAGCTGGACTTTCTTTTCGAGCAACTGCAGTTAGAGTGCAAAGAAGAGTAGACACTGTGGTTAGGTGTTGTCAGGCATGGCTTCGAGAAGGCCGTACGCAAAGAGCAAGGGGCACTGGACGCCGCCGTAGAACAACAGACCGTGAAGATCGCCGCCTAAGATTATTGGCCTTAAGGGACCGTTTCTCCACTACCAGGTCCATTGCAAATGAATGGTTTGCAGAACACGGAAGTCCTATTGGCATGCGAAGTGTTTACCGACGAATGAGAAGTTTTGGCTTGTTTTCATACCGGCCACACTGGGTCCTCCCTTTAACTCGAGAACACCGACGTAATCGCCTTGAGTGGTGCAGACAACGGTCACTCTGGGATCAGGAATGGAACAGTATTGTCTTTAGTGACGAGTCTCGATTTTGTTTAGGCACGCACGATGGTCGTGCCAGAGTTAGAAGGCGACGTGGTGAAAGGAGGAATCCACAGTGTTTTGTTGAACGACATGTTCACCACACTGTTGGAGTTATGGTTTGGGGTGCTATAGCTTATGGTTCCAGGTCACCTTTAATCTTCATCAGAGGTAACATGAACGCGCAGCGTTATATCCACGAAGTTCTAGAACCCCATCTTTTACCCTATCTTGACACCCTGGCAGATCCAACTTTCCAACAAGATAATGCCCGACCACATGTTGCAAGAGTCACAATAGACTTCTTTCAACATAATGATGTCACATTGTTACCATGGCCACCAAGATCTCCCGACTTATCCCCAATTGAGCACGTCTGGGATATGATGGGTAGGAGATTGCTCAGTTTGCAACGTCCTCCTCAGACTCTAGAAGCACTTCGAGAGGAGTTGGTGGTTGCCTGGAATGAGATACCACAGGAGGACATTGACCACCTGATCAGAAGCATGCCTAGGCGCGCTGGAGATTGCGTAGCACATCAGGGTGCATCCACACATTATTAAAGGACAAAGGGCCTTAAAGCAGTGCAATCATTTTGAAATTTCTATCATTTACTTATTATGCTTCACTAAGTACTTATACAAAATTTTATTAAAATAAAACCATTTAAACTGGGTGTTCGGATTTATATGTCACTTAGTATATTTGGCAAACTTTTCCCATGGAATTCAAGCTTTTATATTCACTATATCAAGTCACACATGTGATAGCTACCGTTATCGCAACGTTAGGCTGCGGTTATACTTAGAGGTGGCAGGTGACAGGTGATGAGTGGTAGGTGACAGGCAACGTCGCTTATATTCGTTTTGCATTGTTGTTGAAACACCCCTTTATGCTTAACATAGGTTGCGGGAGGCGCCATCCGGTGACATCATACTTGTCCATTATTTGATTAGATTTTGTTAAAAGACTGTCTCGCAGGCATATCTCGCGCCGGCATTATGGAGGAGAGCTCTAAGAAGCAAAGCCCTTTGACGTACGGTACAAGAGAGCTCGAACACGGACGACCTGCCGGTGCGAAAGGGTCCCGAGCCTGTCCGTCAGAGAAGAATCATCAATCAGGCAGACACCTCTCCTTTAGTCTATTGCATTGCGAAAATTGTTTTTCTTGAACGGGCTCATTGGGTCTGAAAAACACAACCTCTCTTGCACAAAACATCCATCTACTTTTGAACCAATTCAATTTACCACTCTTCGGGTATCAATAGATTTCTCTTGGTGGTTGTAACGTATCCTTCGGTGAGATCGAAACCTCGTTGTTGGATCCTTTCAATTTGTTTGAGTGACAACGACAATCATCGACCTGCTTTCACGTGTGTGATCTTCCATATTCTTATGGAACATACTATATCATCACTTCCTGTATAAATTACACTCAATATCCTATGAAGATGTGTTCTAAAATGCCCCAATAACGAGATACAGGGTTAATGTTTGGCAAGTATGCATTACGTACATTTCAAACTTCACTAACTTCGTCGTGTTTTCAAAGCAGAAAGGATTAATGTTTTATACAGATTTCACTACAGGGATTTTAATAAATTTTTATGGCAAAAGATTGGTTTGACAAACATTTCTCAATTCATGTAAGAGTGAGTCTCATTATCAGACATGCAATAGATGATTAAAAAAAGCCAGTAGCGTCGAAAATATTTCAAAGCTTTATAATTTCTATATCATTGTAATTTTTTTATGTCTTAGTCATAGTAAAACTTTTTTTCCTTTTCAAATTATAACTTCACTTAGGGTCCACGTTTGCACCAACTTCTTATGTTATTTTGGGTTCAATTTTCTCCATTAGAAATATTGCAACTCTTCAGGTAATACACCTATTTTTCACTACTGATTTTTCAATACAATACTTATATACAGCATCAATTAAAACTTTTGTAAGTCAGTAACATTTGTTCACATTTTGTTAGTGAGAGAGCATCGAACTGTTTGAAATATAAAACTGGGTATTTTGAGTGAATTGTGTAAATGCGTAGACTCCTTTATTCCTTTTAAAAAATTTCTATATGCTAGAAACACATAGACGTTTAAGCATTTTGTCTAATTTGGCTATAAACACAATACACACAACGCAATACAGCCACGTGACTATTTAAAAATTACACTGAATTTATAGGCGTACTTTTCACCTTGGAAGCTCGGCATACCCTACAACAAGCAGACACAAGCTATCGTATCGTATGCCAGACGCTGCTGGCTATACGCTTTCCAATAAGGGATGAGCAATTAATTGCCTATTAGCATTGAAGGTTAAGCTACTATACAGGGTATCCCTTTCTACTCTGCTCATCTAGTTGTTTAGAAAACTAAGCATCCTAGAAAAAAAGTCTTAAACAAGGAGTTGTGGGGTTCCTAAGGAGCAAATTAACGGTGACCTTGACTATTCTTTCAAGGTCAAGTCAAAATTGCACACGTTCAAATTTAACATTTCTTGCTGCGTGCCATTTGGGCATACAAATGCAAGGGTCGCCTTACATACAACATTTAATCCGGAAAAGATCAGATTCGGATGGAATTTTTTTTCGAAAATGAGATATTTACCTGGAAATATTTGACGGTCATGGTCATCGTCATGGGCGATCCCCACAAACTTTACAACCGTGGAGTCGAATATTTTTGATAGGGCAGGTTGTTTTTAATATCTCGATTTTGACCTTGGAATAACCTTGAATGTCACTGTTATGGTGACGGCCAAGGTTATGCTCATGCATAAAGTCTCATCCTTTTTTCAATTCCGGTATAGATGAGGTTTCATTTGGAAATATTTGCTTGAGATTGCAATGACCTTGATCAAGGACACGGTCAAGGTCATCGTCATTTTGCATCCTCGAAACCCTGCAACCTTTGTCTTAAACCTTTTTTCTAGAATGCGTAGTCTTCGCAATATTTAGGTAGTGGGATTGAGATGGGACACCCTCTATAGTATTGTTCCAATACTTACCGTATTATTGAACAGAAATAAAGCGCTACCTATCGCTATCCGATCGTCAAACCATACGGCGTAGCCCGATGCTATGAGCAAATAGTGCATGATATTCAACGTATAGGAGATCACGATGCATATGTGGAAAATTACTTGTAGCACTATCAGCGTTCCAAATACTTCACAGAACGTCTCAGTTATGTTGCATAGGCGATTATGACACTTTTTTATCCTTCTCACCTCTATCTCAATCTGTAAAAATGATACCAAGAAATTTGTGTTTTCTAGTAAAATCAAGTTAAGGACTGACAAAGAATGCCTATCTACTTCTTTAGTTTGTATAGTATACTAAGTGACATATAAATCCGAACACCCAGTTTAAATGGTTTTATTTTAATAAAATTTTGTATAAGTACTTAATGAAGCATAATAAGTAAATGATAAAAATTTCAAAATGATTGCACTGCTTTAAAGTCCTTTGACCTTTAATAATGTCTGGATGCACCCTGATGTGCTACGCATTCTCCAACGCGCCTAGGCATGCTTCTGATCAGGTGGTCAATGTCCTCCTGTGGTATCTCATTCCAGGCAACCACCAACTCCTCTCGAAGTGCTTCTAGAGTCTGAGGAGGACGTTGCAAATTGAGCAATCTCCTACCCATCATATCCCACACGTGCTCAATTGGGGATAAGTCCTGAGATCTTGGTGGCCATGGTAACAATGTGACATCATTATGTTGAAAGAAGTGTATTGTGACTCTTGCAACATGTGGTCGGGCATTATCTTGTTGGAAAGTTGGATCTGCCAGGGTGTCAAGATAGGGTAAAAGATGGGGTTCTAGAACTTCATGGATACCACGCTGCGCGTTCATGTTACCTTTGATGAAGATTAAAGGTGACCTGGAACCATAAGCTATAGCAGCCCAAACCATAACTCAAACAGTGTGATGAACATGTCTTTCAACAAAAAACTATGGATTCCTCGTTTCACCACGTCCCCTTCTAACCCTGGCACGACCATCGTGCATGCCTAAACAAAATCGAGACTCGTCACTAAAGACAATACTGTTCCATTCCTGATCCCAGAGTGACCGTTGTCTGCACCACTCAAGGCGATTACGTCGGTGTTCTCGAGTTAAAGGGAGGACCCAGTGTGGCCGGTATGAAAACAAGCCAAAACTTCTCATTCGTCGGTCAATACTTCGCATGCCAATAGGTCTTCCGTGTTCTGCAAACCATTCATTTGCAATGGATCTGGTAGTGGAGAAACGGTCCCTTAAGGCCAATAATCTTAGGCGGCGATCTTCACGGTCTGATGTTCTACGGCGGCGTCCAGTGCCCCTTGCTCTTTGCGTACGGCCTTCTCGAAGCCATGCCTGACAACACCTAACCACAGTGTCTACACTTCTTTGCACTCTAACTGCAATTGCCCGAAAAGAAAGTCCAGCTTCCCGAAGTCTCACTATACGGCCCCTATCAAACTCACTAGGGTTGACGAAATCGTACAGGTCTCCGTACTCTAGGCATCGTAACCGATCGTAAAGGATGTCAAGAACCAAAATCCGCCAACGTTGATTCTTTACTGCGGCTGAAATATTCATTTTTAGAGCGTTAGTGCATTAAAAAAAAGCAGTATAAAAACCGGAATGTCCAACTGATAAGGCTGAAAATTTTTTCACTTGTTATTTACAGTGAGGTAAATACATTCACCAACTTTTATTAAAATAAAACCATTTAAGCTGGGTGTTCGGATTTATATGTCACTTAGTATATTTGTAATCATAATTAAAACAGACAAAAATCAGGGAGTTCAACAGAAACAATGGAAACGAACATTTTGACGGCTCACTGCGATTACACGCTCCACTTCCGGCCTTCGGTGCTCGTATCAGCGGTGTGCGAGTACGAGGGGGTATTGATATCTAGTTAGCTTTGCCCATTTGGAACAAAACATAATTTATTATAAGCGTCATTGCAAAATTTCATATCAATAAGTTTAAGCTTTCTGAAGCAAGACATTTTTATTAGTAGTGTCATGACGTCATGTAATTTTTCCGAAAAAAAATCTAAAAAACATGTTTCTAAGTTATATTTTATTAACAAAAATGCAGCTAGAACTGCGGTAACTGTTAATGGTGTGCGGTATCGCGAAATGTTAACCGAGTTTCTTTGGCCCTAGTTCGATCGAATTGATGTGGAGTTCTTCCAACAAGCGAAACAATGGTGTTGCTGCGGACCAAGCTTCCAGACCGTATCATCTCCCGGTTTGTCGATCAAAATTGGCCACCAAGATCGTGCGATCTAACGTCAATGGACGTCTTCCTCTCGGGCTATGTGGAGGAAAACGTGTATGCGAATAAGCCACAAACAGTTGAACGCCTTAAAGAAGAGATACGGCGCGTTATCGACGACATACAGCCATAGTTGAGCGATAACATTATCCAGAATTTTAAGAAACGACCGACCCTGTGCCAGAGGTTTCGTGGTGGCCATTTACCGGATGTCCTTCATGTTTTTCTTGAAAATGAAATCGGGCTCTCTTATTGAGACACCCTTCAGAAATCAAGACGAGGGAAATATACTAAGTGACATATAAATCCGAACACCCAGTTTAAATGGTTTTATTTTAATAAAATTTTGTATAAGTACTTAATGAAGCATAATAAGTAAATGATAAAAATTTCAAAATGATTGCACTGATTTAAAGCCCTTTGACCTTTAATAATGTGTGGATGCACCCTGATGTGCTACGCATTCTCCAACGTGCCTAGGCATGCTTCTGGTCAGGTGGTCAATGTCCTCCTGTGGTATCTCATTCCAGGCAACCACCAACTCCTCTCGAAGTGCTTCTAGAGTCTGAGGAGGACGTTGCAAATTGAGCAATCTCCTACCCATCATATCCCACACGTGCCCAATTGGTGATAAGTCGGGAGATCTTGGTGGCCATGGTAACAATGTGACGTCATTATGTTGAAAGAAGTCTATTGTGACTCTTGCAACATGTGGTCGGGCATTATCTTGTTGGAAAGTTGGATCTGCCAGGGTGTCAAGGTAGGGTAAAAGATGGGGTTCTATAACTTCGTGGATATAACGCTGCGCGTTCATGTTACCTCTGATGAAGATTAAAGGTGACCTGGATCCATAAGCTATAGCACCCCAAACCATAACTCCAACAGTGTGATGAACATGTCTTTCAACAAAAAACTGTGGATTCCTCCTTTCACCACGTCGCCTACTAACCCTGGCACGACCATCGTGCATGCCTAAACAAAATCGAGACTCGTCACTAAAGACAATACTGTTCCATTCCTGATCCCAGAGTGACCGTTGTCTGCACCACTCAAGGCGATCACGTCGGTGTTCTCAAGTTAAAGGGAGGACCCAGTGTGGCCGGTATGAAAACAAGCCAAAACTTCTCATTCGTCGGTAAACACTTCGCATGCCAATAGGTCTTCCGTGTTCTGCAAACCATTCATTTGCAATGGACCTGGTAGTGGAGAAACGGTCACTTAAGGCCAATAATCTTGGGCGGCGATCTTTACGGTCTGTTGTTCTACGGCGGCGTCCAGTGCCCCCTGCTCTTTGCGTACGGCATTCTCGAAGCCATGCGTGACAACACCTAACCACAGTATCTACACTAGTCTACAAAAAAGTCCAGCTTCCCGAAGTCCCACTATAGGGCCCCTATCAAACTCACTAAGTTGACGAAATCGTACAGGTCTCCGTACTCTAGGCATCGTAACCGATCGTAAAGGATGTCAAGAACCAAAATCCGCCAACGTTGATTCTTTACTGCGGCTGAAATATTCATTTTTAGAGCGTTAGTGAATTAAAAAAAAGCAGTATAAAAACCGGACTGTCCAACTGATAAGGCTGAACATTTTTTCACTTGTTATTTACAGTAAGATAAATACATTCACCAACTTTTATTAAAATAAAACCATTTAAACTGGGTGTTCGGATTTATATGTCACTTAGTAAAGTTTACGAAATCATTCCTTCCGCGAGCATGAAAATGGATAAAATGAAATATAGACCCGTCATTAAGTACCTCTATTCAAAAGATTTACGGGGCAAGGAGGACATGGCTATTACCCTCTTTAAATACCACTGTAAAAAATTGGGTTACTTGATTCAGAAGAGAAAAGTTATCCATTCAAGATGATGAGAGACCTGGAAGACCCGTTTCAGTGTCAATCCCGGAAAATGTCGATGCAGTTCAAGGCTTGCTATTAGTAGACCGTCGGATTGAAAAAAAAAACATAGCTGGGACCCTGAACATAATCATATGAAACCATTTAAAACATCATTCACGTTCAGGTTCAGGTGGAAACGAACGTTTTGAGCAGTCTAGTGACTATAGGCAGAACTTGAGTATATTTCTACGTTCCTGAGACAAAACAACAACAGATGGAATGGAAGCACTCTGGGTCGCGAAGGTAGAAGAAATTTTGCTGGAAAAGTATTTGTTTCAGTGTAGTGGTATCATTTTCACTGATTACCTAGACAAAAAATTGTGAACAGATATTGTGGAATTTGATTTGGGCCGAAAGGGTTATGTTCTTGCAGGACATAAATCGCAAAGCTTCGCGATTTCGGTTTCAAACCGATGGATCTCCCTCCTTATTCACCTGATTTGGTGCTGATTTTTACCTAGTTCCGGAGCTGAAAGAAAGCTAAACTGGCGCAATTTTTCTTGGAACGACAAAGTGATAAACGCTGTGGAGAACTGGTCAAAATTTTCTGTGCTTCTGTAGTAGAAGGAATACTCGTATATCAATACCCCACTTTTTGTATCGATACTGTGATTAAAAACGGTGCCGAAATATGAGGTTTTAAAGAGAATGGAGTTAAAGGAATTTAGACGCTATCTAGAACCACCTTCTGATCATAGTACACATCCAAACTGAAGAAATACTGAAATATATATATTGTGCTGTTTCAATTACTATGACATTCAACCAGGCGCTTCAAAGAATCACAAACTTTTTTCATTAGTAACTCCAGAAGAGCGTAATGTGCAGATTCAACTTATATTATTGCAATAGTGTATGTGAGGCATTGACAAGCTTCTACAATAGCAATGACTCATGCTACTGTACCTTAAGAGCATTTCATTACGAACCTGAAAGCTGTTTAGGCCTTTCGAAGCTTTCTTAGCGTCAACATTGAATTTCTTCAAAATATCGTCCAGTTGAACATTCAAGTGCTTGAATCTACATTTCTGCTCAATGCACAACCACATCTCTAACAACAGCATCATATCTGTCTGATAGTACTGTACGTTCCTTAAAATGTAGAACTGATACAGTTTGAATCCTACCATATCAGTCCAAAGGATAGTATCGGCTGTTAGAACTGCAATAGCTTCTATGCTGATTACACAAAACGCTATCCAGAATAAGGATTTCGGAGATATATTTTTGTAAGGCGCATTCTCAGTGGTAGAAATAGCTTGTAGGATTTCTTGGACTTTTTGAGGATGCAGGAACACCATGTAGATTTGGCTCACTGTACAACAGACGAATAGTAGTAGATTGTAGATCTCGTCGATAGACTTCATGATCTGAAACATAATTATAAAGATATCTACAATATTCTAGGCAGCGGCAATAAACAAGTGACAAACTCGGCACAAACTGGATTGACTGACAAACCGATCTCTGCCGGTGCGCTGGGGAAGAGAAGGCAGGACGGGATTTCCGCTCCCTGCTTGGGGATGCAACAGTCTTGTACAGCTTAATAGCACCACAACATAATACTGTACATTGAAGCATAAAACGCTCATAGCTCTCATTCGGTTTCGATGGATTCTTTTTTATACTCCAACTATTGGGGTACAGGGGAAAGGAGGGAGTTCTGCCAAAGAGCCGTTCATGTCGGATGGTAGGAGTCTAGATCACCGAGGACTTTATCTGGCAGTGACACATCTCGTGAATGGCGGGAGCTGCAAGGAAAAAGATAGGCTAACTGTTTAGGGCTAAGAAGTACTTTTATCCATATCACCTCCCCACTCTGTACAAGGCCCTGATAAGACCTAGCCTCGAATATTGCTCACAGGTTTTGTAACGGTTTCACCGTCCGATCGTATTTATTAAATCACTTCTCGATTATCATTTCATTAATCCCATCTCTAGCTTTTTTGCTTGGAAAATTTTCCGCTTGAAGCGCTTGATGCGGAGTTCCTGATCTGCGATCTTCCTCGCGCTTCCTTTTCACTTGAGCCGCCGATCGAACAACGGCTAGAAATTTCTTCTCTGTAGCACAAGGTTATATAGCACCATGTGCTAGAATTTTCTAGAATGTGTGTCCGTATAGGACAAAAATGGTGAGTTTTATAATACTATACAGTTTTATTGCTGGATCTGCCTGTAGTTTATAGATAATCGATATGTGATTTATTTCTTGTACGATTATAAAATATTCATCGAACGTCATTTTCGACTACTTCGATCATTCGCCATAACTTTAATCAAATCGAGGTGGAAATCAATCCACATCGATTTTACCTCTGTGCGCGTATATATATTCATAGTTCAGTGAAATTATAAGTACGTTGATTATGAATATTCGATGATTATGTTTTTATATCAGAAGCATGTGGAGAAATTTTTGATGACCACCATCTTGTTTTACGCTTTTTTTTTGCTATTTCATGATTTTATTTTATGAAAGTCATTTCCAATTTTCGGTTTGATTTTATCAAACTATATAATGTAATTCTAATCTAGAAAATCGTTGATTCTCTTTTGAGGCAGACTGAGATTGGAAATGCCTTGGCCATTAGGGCACGTTGCTAATGCACACGGTTCTTTTTCAGATTGGGGCCACCCCCTTTCTCTTTCCCTTTCACTTTGCCTAGCCTTGGCCAATATTTTCACCCATGCATGTATCTTGGCAGCGCCATCGCCTTTAACTTCGCCTACAACTGGTTGTGAAGCCACTATATGGAGGTCACCCCTCATAACTGGGACCTCCCCTTCAAGCCCCTGGCCATCCTGGCTTCAGTCGAGTAAAAATGGACCAGCGAAAGATAAGTCGATAGCGTTATAGCAGCGCCAAAGATGTAAAACTTATTTTGTTATTTTTGTAAAATTGTAATGTAATGAAAATGCCTTTTTTTTTGTTAAATAAAATCTGTTAAATTTTTGTGTTCTGTTTGTTCTTCTATCCTCTAGCCATGCCATGGTCGACACACAGCTACACGCCTGTAGATGTCTTCATGCCACCGACTGAGCTACCGGAAGCTAATGGTAACCCCCTTTCTGTGATTGTGCAGAAAAGTTGGAATCTTCATTGCATTCCATCTTTTCTGGACTTTTTGCGGAAAGGAAGCGTTACAGTTTGGGGCGCTGCCACCCTAAATACGTTTTTTTCAAATGACATGTTTTGGCGCTTCAAAGAAAGAAGTATGGTTTATCATACTATAGGGCTTATATCGCTACTTCTACACCTACGCACAGTGGGGCAGAATCCTAAAAAGCTGGCCAAAAATCAAATTTTTGAGTTGTATATATTCGTCTATATACGTTTAGATCTTGTTTACGGATAGTCCTAAACTGAATCCAAATTCAAGATGAGATGTAAATAATAACAGTTAGCGCGTGATCTCTCGGTAACAGGTGGGCACAACGCCTCTTATTGGTCAATTCGCCATTAAATTTCAAGGGGTCGCCTGGCGGAGTAATGCGCGGGGCAGGGTCAGGGCAGCCAGAGTTGCACTCAGGCGACCGTCCGTCGCGTGTATCACTGCGTGCTCGTGTTTTCGTATTCACCTTGCTAGGTTGTTGCTGTTGTTGTTAAGTGTATTTGAGTAATTTGTTAAGTTTCTGTTTCTGTTAAATACTGTCGTCTTTGTTTTACAACACGTTGATGGTAGTCCATCATTCGGAGGTAGCCCTGAATGCGGCCCTGTAGGCCGTCCTTGCTTTTGGCAATCACGCATCCATTCTATCTTGGGTGTAAATACACTATAGAATGAAATTCCGGATAGGGCAGGTATATACTTGCTCTAGGGTCGCCTTGACATCGGTCGACCTTCAGGCGTTGTTCGGTACGCACTAAGCAATTGTACACGTCGGAAAATTCTAGCATGTAGTTTCGAAGTGCTGTAAAACAGAAGAAACTATCTCAATTTGAATTGTACAAAATGGAATCACTTTCTGCAGGTATACAGAATATATAGTTACGCACAGTTGTTGCTTATTTTATGTTTGAAATATTTAAATTTTACAACAAATAAACATAAGCAATTGTAAATTTTTTTCTAAAATCAATTTTCTAAAGTAGTTTCAAAAATGTCTTAGCGAGTCTCGATCTTGTTTCGACAAAGAAGCGATGTGCATAATATGAAATATAATATAGTAAAAATCTGGCTGCTCAGGAGTGCTCAACGAATAGTTAGACTAATTTTTATGGAGAAATACGCGGCGCGACAATAATGGTCGTGTGACTGTACATTGATCATTGTGTTACAGTACGTTGGTATATTTTCTGTTTATAAACATTGATTAATGTTATTCCAAATGTTATGTTGCAGGTAATTTTGAGCGGGTATGATATAGACGAAGAAAAATTCAAAGACTATTGTGTAAATACTGCCCGTTTATTCGTTGTTTTATATCCATGCCAACATCTGTATATAAAGTGTTGATGCACGGAGCAGAATTTTTAAAATATGCCCTTTTACCGATCGGACAAAATTCTGAAGAGGCCCAAGAGTCACGCAACAAGGACATTAAGAAATACAGATTAAATAATGCAAGAAAATGGTCTAGAGAAACGAATTTGAGAGACATCTTCAATAGGCTCTTAGTAACATCAGATGAATTTCTGTCAAGCATCAGGAAATTGCCTTTACATAAAAAGCTCTGCAATTGTTAAAACAACCTGAAGTCACCAGGCAAGAGACAAGGAACGATTCCGATGTAGATACAAGCGGGTCAACAACAGAATTCGAATCGAATGATTCGAACATTGAAGATGACGTACAAGATTTTTGTTACTATAAGTAAATAACATATTCATTTTGTTGCAAATGCTTTATAAAAAAAACTTTTGATAAATAAAAAGCATTGCTCGAAAGATTTTTTACTCATTAAAACCTAAAAATATTATAAAATATTTTCTATTTAAAAATACTAAAAATTAAAAAAATTACAGAATCCTCCATATATCGCGTCTGCTATTTTGAAAATTAATATTTTGATAACCAATTCGTAATCAGCCATAAACAAATACAATTGGGTATTTTTACTGGATTATTTGACTAATTGGTTAAATTATGTCCGCCATTTTGGGTCCGCCATTTTGAAAATCGTAATTCTGATAACAGATTCATATTCAGCGACCCCAAAAACCCCCGAGAAGAGAATTTGAGATCATTTACGACACTTTCTGAATTTTGGCCAGCTTTTTGGGATCCTGCCCCACTGTGCTACAGGATACCTTGTCCGAAAAAACAGTCTAGTTTGATAGCTTATATATCAGAAACTTTTGTAGATAGCGTAGCAAACTTTTGACCAAACTCTCATGAGGTCCCATAGTTTCTCGATATTTTAACGCATATTTAAATTTCAGTTTCCATCTATATAATGATAATAATTTGTCATAATCATAAAATGTACTTTTATCAGAAACTTAGGACTGTGTATCTTCACAGTTCTTAGTAATGCTTTTTACAAGCTTCATTTCGGTATGTTTATGGATGGTTCAAAAACTAAAGTTCACAATTCAAAGTTAAGCCCCATCATCGGTGGAAATAAAGGATATTTACTTGATAAAAAAGACATTAAATGAATCTATTGCTCATCCTCCGAGATCCTCCCTTACGTTCTCTTATTGGGAAACGGCAAACAACTCAAAAGTTAAGCGACTTAACTCCCCAAAATTTTCAAGGCTGAAATAAAGCTTGTAAAGAGGATAACCCAGAAGTGTAAATATATATAACCATTTGTATTTTTTAAGAAAAATGCATTTTACGCTTATAGTATAAATGTGGCAAATAAATAAAAAAAGAAACGTTTCAATGACGAGAAGATACGAAATATATATTTATATATTTTGTTTAATAATTTGCTGCTATGTCTGAGTGAGTGATTGATTTGCTAGTTGTCAAAGGTAATTGTGGCTCTGGACAAAATATTCAGTAGTGATCCATACCCTACGGTACGTTATATCTAAGTTCTTTCTTTTAAGGGGCCTATACTGGACTTGAAAAGTGAATCACCCTGTTGAGAGAAACGCATTTTCCAAGTAAAGAGCTTATATTTGCCTACATTTTTTTTAACTGGATATTTTGAAAACCACTCTGTATACATATACGGCGCTCTTGGGCATAGCCAAGTGCCAGTTTTGTAGAGAGTACGAGAAACCCTAACGCACCACCGCAAAGGATTGGGTTTCACATATTTGAAATCAAGAATCCAAAAGTGGAAAGTGGAATTCGACCTTCAGCATTGGGATCCCGAAAACAGTAATAGATACCAAGTTGCTTTAATGAGGGCAAGAAAGACAGGTTTTCCCAATTTTGGCCTGACTTTATTTGTAGTGGTATATAAAAGTAAATTGCCACTG